TTTGGAGTGCCAGCACCTTGTTTTGGGGTCTGGCAGATGTGGAAGGCCCAGCTGTGTAACAGCATCAGTCACTGCATTGCCTCGGGGTTTTTGGAAACCTTTTCTGAGTAGGTTGAACAGACACTGTGACCCTCAGAGGTGTCACTGTGAAGAACCAAACCCTGTGGCTCTCAGAGGCCTGGATCTGGGATTCAGGAGGTTCCCACAGCTCTCCCTGCCCGGGATCCAGGATCCATCAATCCATGCAAACGTTGGGCTCTCTCATCTGAAAGAATCCGTGATTCACTCCATCCATCCTCCTCTGAGTGAAGCATCAAAGCTGAGTCCAAACCTCATTTAGATTTTGTTCCAAACTGTCAGAATTCCACAGGAGTTATGCCTAATTGTGCTTTTTCCTCAGCTGTTCTCCTGCAGGTTCCTTCTGCCCTCCCTTCCTCGTGCTGCCAGGGGGGTTTTGCTGCTCATCCCTTGTGCTCTGCTGAATAAACCCTGACAGCAGCAGCCAGATGGAAATCCTCACCTTAAACCCACACACCAGCCCCTCTCCAGACCACGTGTGCCAAAAGCAGATGCAAACACAGAGCAGGAGTCATCTGCTCCTGCACTGTCAATATTTGAATGCTCTTGGCTCTCGTTCTGGACACTAATAAAAGAAGCTGGTTAATCACTGATAATTGTTGGGAGCTCTGTGCCATTGACAAACAGGAAGTTTTATGCAGCTGTCAGATGCACGAGCTGAGCATTTCCTGCAGGGGAGGAAGATTTCTTTGGTGACAGGCTCACTGGAGATTTTAGGAAGAAAAAATAGCATTTTGAGCGCTGAAAAATCATGAAAGCGGCACAGTTTGATGTGCTTTGCAGAAGATTTTCTGTGGCTGCCACCCAGCTAAATAATTCCCAGTTTGGCAAAACAAAACTCACCGTGTGCCCCTCTGGTCTGGCCTTGATGAAAACATGGGATGGCTTTGGAATTACTGGGAAAGAATATTAAAGAGTTGAAAGATACCTCAAAGAATGGATGGTTCATTGTCCATACAACTGGGAAAAATTAATCAGGATAAAGCTCACTGTGATGGCTCAGTTCAAGGAAAAGCCTTTTTTTTGAGGAAAAGGAGCACTGCAATCCTTATATTCACAGGTGAAGGACATGATAATCCAAATTACTTCCTTCATGATGAATATTAAGGTTTTAAGGCTGAATTTGAAGATATTTTAGGAGCAAAGAGATCTGTGGAAGGCAAAATATGGTGCAAATTTATAGTGAATGTAATGAACTTCTCTTACAGAAACAGAGCAGGTTTGGGTGGCCAGAGAGCAGCAAACACCTGGGGAGGGCTGGGGAGGGGCACGGGGCTGCTCCACCCTGGCTGTGTTTGTACCCAGAGTTTGTGAGCACACCCTGGGCTGGCTGTGGGGCAGAGCAGGGACAGGGACACAGCAGGGACACAGCAGGGACAGGGACAAGGACAGTGTGAACAGCTGGGGCTGGGTGAGCAGCACCTCACCTGGGCCAGCTCCGGCTCCCAGAGGCTGTCCTGGCCCCTCTCCCCAGGTAACTCCTTCATCTCCTCCATCTCCTTCTCCTTCATCTCCT